ATTAGGGCTTCTCAATCTATCCATTCCGGTCGTGCAATTATTCATTTTCACATACATAAAGTACATAAAATTATTCCAATGACTATTGTAGTTGCTTTTGCTCTGCATTCCTATATATTTATCACCATTGAATAGCCTGCATGCTGTACGATGATATTAATCACAAGTGCGTGCCATTAACTTCCCAACTCACAACAATATGGTGGCAATAAATGTCATCTATATCTCAAAAGTTTCTCTAGATAAAGCTAAATTATAAAACCCTAGATCGTACATATACGACCATGCAGGCCAAAACTAATGTGTTAGGAAAAATAATATCATGGGAATGGCATTATTGAGTTATAAAGCAGCATACATTTGAATAATTCTTCTCGATTATAATTTCATGCTACACATAATAAATCCGCTCTCTCACTTCATTATTTCAAGCGTAATTAATGAGAAGCATAACAAGTTGTGGCGAGAGAAAGATATCTTTGTTAAAGAATCCCACATCGTTAAACTCCTGGGCTTATTTTCTTCATACGTACATGTAGTCTCTCTCCAACTATATGTTAAACCTTTTGCATTGGACATTCTAACATGGTATTATAATAGGTTTTGTCCTAATTTATTTTGCATGTGCAGCCCTCCCATTCATAAAGTTTCAAGGGATTTATATATTCTTTATATACATAAGGTCTTTCTCCACCAGCATTGTGTAAAAGAAAAGTGATTGGACCGTGACCCGGTATGCTCTCTAGCAATCATCATATCATAAGTCGAAATAAAAAAACAGAATAAAAAGAGAATCACATCATACAGTCCACAACTACTTCAAAATCTTGGCTAAGCAATCATGACTTCATTTGTTTCGCGAAAAATGAATGATTTGAAAAAATATTTTCCTAAAAGTAATCTCTGGAAATTATTAGTCAATAAAAAACTGTTTTCGTGACTGACGCAATTAATGTCTTAACATTTTCATGAATAATGAAAATGTTTTCCTTTTAATTTTTTATAAACGATACAAGCGAACATTTTTCAGATAGTATTTTTCAAATCATTCATTCTCCGCAAAACGAATGCATCCGTAGCCTATGATCGAATTCCGGGTTTACAATGACTATTTTACCCTCGGGGACAAACGTTGACTCGAATATGTTCATCAATTGATAAGCTTCCAAATTTCTCTAACACACCTGAGTTAAGGGACATTAATTGCACTTTTCCAATGTCAAATTGAGGAGCCATAATTGGTCACGTTACAAATTAAGGACCATCATTAATGGTGCGATTTTTACGGCCATCATGGGCAATGACGCATGTGTTGGGCTGCCTAATCACTGCCAAGAAAACCTTGGGGAAGACGTCAACGATCTTAATGATGGTGTTAATCCCTCTACTAGTGATGGCGCAGCCCAAGCTTTTTCTGTGCAAGTTGCTAACACTCTTCCAATCAACAAGAGCGGACAGATTTCAATGGTTTGAACAGCAACGATGCCATGTCCGTTGGATTTTAGGCTGCATAATGTGGAATTTTGTGCTGACAATTTTGTTTGAAATGGATCAAGAAAAGTCTTACATGATATGCACTTAAAATCAATTTGCAAGCAAGCAAACCACGCGCGTGGACACACACTTGCGCGCGTGCGCACGCACACACATATATATGTATAGACTGAAACCGATGGTTTGGATCTTCTAGTCCTCGATCTATCGAGAGAAGAGTCCAGACCGGTTGGTCGGGTCGAGGCGATTTCTTACCTTTGAAGATCAAACTATCAAACTTCCAACAATGAGGAAGCCTATTTTGGTAGGTAAATCTTGAGCTCGTGAAATGTCCCCGATGGTTTGGATCTTCTAGTCCTCGATCTATCGAGAGAAGACTCCAGACCGGTTGGTCGGGTCGAGGCGATTTCTTGCCTTTGAAGATCAAACTATCGAACTTCCAACAATGAGGAAGCCTATTTTGGTAGGTAAATCTTGAGCTCGTGAAATGTCCCCATCAACCTTATGGATCAGGTGATGCGAAAATCAAAACCCGAATGGGTGATCCAAATTCGAAAGTGTTTGCACATGATGCTATGGCGAGGAATCATCCCACATCTAATGTGCCAATACATGTTATTTCCTTGGCACTAAACCAACCTCATGAGGTTAACCGTTAAGTTTAATAATTTTCATTCCAAGAGAAAAACGAAGGGAAAAAGCAAATTACAAAAGAAAAAGGAATGCCTAGAGCAGAAGGGGAAACAACTTGCCCTGGAGTTGGTCACGTCGGATCAATCACGCGCTGACAATACGGAACCTAAACATTCACCGTTCGTTCCATCCGGAGTTATCAGGTAAACCCATTTTAATCGATTATACGAGTGAAAATGAAAAACCCAATTTCGGCGAAAAGTTGCATGCAATCATTGAAGCATGCGATTTGCTAAATATATAAAAAAACAGATTAGAGCTATTTCTTTTCCTCATGAAAATTCGATTACAAACCTTTTTCGTTTTCACGAAAAATGAAGAAGAATATGCTCGCACGAAATTAAATGATCCCGACAACCGAGGCGCGGGGCGGGCCAAAACGAATTAGATGACGGGCCTCGCTTCTGAATCACCGCTTGGGCCTACTGCTTTTTGTCAATTTCCGAGTGGGCCCGCAAGGGAGCCCGACCACGGGATCCCATCCCAAACAGCCCAGGTTGACGTGGCGGGGCTCGGACCGCACCCCGCAGCCTATGGTCGCGGACCGGTCAACGTGTAAGACCGTCCGACGCGGCCCCCCCTCCTCTGCGGTCCGGGTGGGCCCCCCGCCCTCATCCGTCCGGCATGTGCTTCTGATGTTGACACCACGTCGGGCAGGGAGGGAGGGAGGGAGGTTGAACGGTGAGAAGAGCCTTTTCATGAATCTCTTTTACCACGGAAGAAGAGGAGGAGGGTCGATGTTGTTCTTTTTCATGGCGACTCGTGGCCAAAAGAACAAGGAAAGAGATGTTCGATAGCGACGGCACGCAAGTTGGGCGTTTGGCGTATTGATTGAAGAAGAGAGAAGGGCCAAAAACCCCTCTGAAGTCCGAACCCCACACACTTCATTGTTTGCTGGTCGCTAGCTAGTCAAAATCCCCTTTCTTTGATCCACATTGGCAGCACACGAGACCCGGTTCGACTCTTCGTAAAGTCGCTCTCTCCAAGAGAGTGAACCCGTCGCTCGATTCGAAATCTGGATCGGGCAGGCGGTCGGGCGGGCGGGCGAGAGATTAGAATAGGACGACACCGACGGGAACTGTTGAGTTTTAATGCGAAATGGGTCCGTGCACGAGCGGAATCCTCGTAGGGTCAATTCGGGCGGATCCACATTGTGTGTGAGGACAGTTAATACGTGCATTGGATATGGCTCTGTTCGATGTTGAGGTCCCTAACGTTAGGTATTGTATATGGCCTGGCATCTGGTAAGCAATGTCCTTTTGATTGAACACCCACCTTCCGTCGTCGAACTAAAAAAGCAGCGGAAAGGATGTGGCATCGTTTCACGGCCTCAAACACGATCGACCGCGAGATTCTACAATAAAGACGACAATGATTGAGAAGACAGCTACGATCAACAAATATTCCGCCAAGTAAGGGTGGACGCCTGGATTGATAACTGGAATTAAGGATGCGCATGGAATGTATTCCGGAATAAAAATTCTGTTTCGAAATGCATTTCGGAACAGAACGGCGTTTGTTAAAAAAAATTTGGAATGCATTCTGAAGCGATTTTTGCATTCTGGAATAAAAATCCATTTATTAAAAATACTTGATTCCAGAATGCATTCTTGATTCCAAAATGTATTTTTGATTCCGGAATGAGTTTTTGGCAAGAAAAAGAGAAGCTACTTTTTGTAGCTTCTTGATTCTGGAACGCATTCTCCCTATTTTCTCACCATTTTTTTTTTCAGAAAATACATAAAAATTGAAAAATTCTAGAAAAATTCATAAAAATTTCCAGAAAATAAAAAAAGTCAAATTTCGGGAAAATATGAAATTTGGTGAATTTTTTTTAAAAAATAAAAAAAATCAAAAATTTCAAAACTTCACAGAATAGCTTAAAACACATATGGCCACCCACTTTGAGTGAAATTCAAATTTTTTGAGGTGCCAAAAAAAATCAAAAATTTCAAAACTTCACAAAATAGCTTAAAATACCTGTGGCCACTTACTTTGAGTGAAATTTAAATTTTTTGAGGTGCCCAAAAAAAATAAAAATAAAAATTTTCAAAACTTCACAAAATAGCTTAAAATACCCGTGGCCACCCACTTTGAATGAAATTTAAATTTTTTGAAGTGCCCAAAAAAATAAATAAAAAATAAAAAATTTCAAAACTTCACAGAATGGCTTAGAATATCTGTAACCACCCACTTTGAGTAAAATTTAAATTTTTTGAGGTGCCCAAAAAAATAAAAAAAATAAAAAAAATTCAAAACTTCACAAAATGGCTTAGAATACCTATGGCCACCCACTTTGAATGAAATTTAAATTTTTTTAGGTGCCCAAAAAAAATTAAAAGAAATCAAAAATTTCAAAACTTTACAGAATGGCTTATAATACATATGGCCACCCACTTTGAATAAAATTTAAATTTTTTTAGGTGCAAAAAAAATCAACAAATCAAAATATTTTTCTGTTCCAAAAATCAATTTCTGGAACAGAATTAGTCATGTTTTACCAAACAGATTTCTCCTCCAGAAATCAATTTCTGGCAAGAATTCCAAAAATCAATTTCTGGCAAGAATTTGATTTCTGGAGCAGAATGGTTATCATTCACACTCTAAGAACCTGAAAGCAAGACTAGTTCTACAATGAGCTAACAGAGATAAGGATAGGACCATCAAATGAGTCCTCTGATTTGTTATGGTCTTAGGATGCTCATTGCTTCAGTCATTCTAGTACCGCCTTCGACGAGAAACATCGAAGACGATGACCGATGACTGCCCAATAGACTAATAATTTACGCACATGAACAGAGACGAGAAAGCAATTAAGGTAACAAGAGCGAAGATGCGAGATCAGCTCACAACAGTATATGTGCTCCGCCATCGTATTTCAGTTCTTAGAAATTCCTCTCGGAGCCGGTCGCACACAAAATGGATATCACTCTACTTACGCTTAATCTTAAACTCCAGGGCTAGGAAGCGCAACCTAAAAATAATTTTCCCAGCTAAACATGAATTAGCTTATACAGAAAAGAAAAAGTATTCGACTAAGCAGATGTACTTTCCATAACTTCGTATCAAAATTTCACCTTCAGTTAACCAACCATAAACCTATATCCATCCTTTCTTCTTTCAGAATGAGCATGAAACCCTGAAGCCAAAAATGAGTTCAATCATGCAGCTTGATTCATTGAATGGTCACTGGGGTTGGCCTTCAAGAAAGCTGTGATGAACAACAGAAGAACGGTGAGACGGTCAATTCATCACCAGCATGCCCAAAACTTTCCAAGATCAGGGGCGGTCAGGCTAAATGTCCACAAGTATAGCTTCCGATCAATACTCATGTTTTCCTGCTAACCCTCCTCTTTTTTGACAAGCCCTTCAGCCTTTGATCTCGTTTTCTCTTCTTTGCTTGCTTCTGGAATGATTGCCCCACTAAAGATGGCTGTTCTTTCAGAGCAAAGCTCTTTGCAACATGGCCCAGGTGAAGTTTCTTCACCATAAAAATTCTCTTGAGCTCCCCACGATGGGCTGCAAATGCACGGACCCAAGAGCAATACGCACTCTTGGCAAGCGAATGTATTCTTGCCTGAGGAAGAGATTACAACACTTAACAGCATGTAAAAACGAGACGCCAATCAGCCCAACAAAAGAAAATGACAACACACGACAAAACCAGATGTTGCAAAGGGTTTAGAGATTATCTAACTTGATCAGAAAAGACTAGCAAAGAAAAGAGTCTAGATATAATAAAGCCATCCCTCTCACCCATTGTGGGTTATGATACAATCAACTATTGCAGCTGAGTGAGACCAAGGGCACCCTGTTTTTAGCCCCATTCACAGGAGTGGCATTCTTATACTTGTCGCAATAAATTGAATAATGCTACATGTCCATAATTTCCAATAACATTAGAGAAATGAGCCGCAAAATCCTTCTCAATATGCTATTTTCCTTCAGGTTAACTTTTGATTTATACCTACTCGGTAGTGTTCAGTTAACCATAAGGAATGTCAGTAGTCTCAAAAGTTTAGGAAGCGCTTACACAGGCCACAACAAGCTAGAAAAATACTGCAGGTACTGCACATCTAGCCTCGATCATCTTCCAGTTTCTATTTTCTAATCTATACAAACCAAAAGCCATTGCGGAGCATGTCCTAGACACTTTGGCAAAAGAGTAAAAGGAAAGAAACGAAAGCACAAGAATCTTAACAGTCAAATCATATAAGTGCGGAAGACAAGTACCTCGGCCGAAATAAAGAGCTCGAGTCCCTTTTGCAGAGCTAGCACCCAAGGATGTAAATCCAAGGAAACAAAATTCTTGGCATGGAGCTTCTGGCCGTACAGTGGGAAACTATCCAACACCTTCAAGATGGGATATTCTGCCAAACCTACACCGTGCTTCTCCAAGTCCTGTAGATAATCCATTTCGGCCGGTTGCAAGAACAAGAGAGCTTCGCCTCTTTCATCTAAACGGGCAGTTCTGCCAACCCTGCCAAATCATTTTCAAGATGGCATCATACCCACTAAAAGATTTCCAAACATTTTTGCTTTACTTTTATCATCAAGATTTTCTATCCACTGAAACTTGTCCCTCATGAACTAGGTTCACCACTAACGTACTAAAAGGTCCAGCCTGTACATGAAATCAGGTACTAGTCTCGGCCAATCGCCACATGTTTTATGGCCGATTAATTTGCCCCAAAACCACGCATCAAGTTCAGGAATCGCCCATTTTTTTATGCAAATGGGTATTTCACCCAAAATAATGACGGGCTATGTGCAGGGCTCAAAGCAGAATGTGTCATAATCTAGGCAGGCAATAGATAATATTAAAGTTCAAAGCCAAATATGCAGCAATTGGTACAGACATTATAAAACTTAAAAAAGTACTTTGGGGTCTGACAAAAGGCAGAGAGATACCTATGCACATATTCAGTAGCCTCTCCAGGAGAATCGTACTGTATTATACATTTGACTTTTGGGATATCTAAGCCTCTAGCAGCTACATCTGTAGACAGAAGGAGAGCCGATTTCTCTGTCTTAAAGGACTGAAATGTCATTCTTCTATCCTCCTGTTTCATATTGCCATGTAAACGAAATGCTTTGCACCTCAAGAACTTGCTCTTGACTTCGGTTTCTTGTGAACGCGGAGACCACAGAAATTCACTGATCAATGTGTAATGGAAGTCTACCGCATCACATGTTGAAAAGAATACCACAATCTGCGAGATGAGCAAAAGAATGCAAGCTTGTTACCTTTTCGTTTTATCCATAGGTAATACATTCCTAACATAAGCAGCATAACTTAGAACAATATTCAAGAATAGTAGACGTCTTATGTCGGGAATTTCAGGACACATGAGCAGAAAAAGAAAGTACCAGCAGGGAAAAACAAAAAGAGCAAATGCCTTGTCAATAATCATTATAGTTGTTGAATATTAGAATACCCAAATTCTTTCTTATTACAATGTTAGAAATCAACGGAAGATTGTCCATTGACTACCATTAACAGAAGAGGTATCCTTTTAATAGCAGGGGCATCCATCTTGCACCAAACAATTCACAAAGCTGTTACACCTGACACAACTAGAGTACTTGACCAATACCAAAGTGCATATTAGGTATCCAGCAACTTGAATAACAGGCACTGATTAAAATTTCATACAACCAAAGGCACAGAGAGCATAGAAAAGTACCTTATGTGAGGCTTCTCTCTCAAAAAGGTGCTTCAAAATGGACAGAAGTACTGCAAGCCGGGAACCACAAGGTACTGTGCACAGACAGTCAGTCAGGACTCCCACGATAATATACAATTTGGTGGGTTTCGACTAAGAATTTACCGACATATACCTTTCACATATCTCTGAACTAATTGCGACGGAAGATTATAGTTGCTTGCCAGTGACGTTTCTCTTTTACCAGGAAATTCCAATTCCTCATTGATGTCAGATCCTGAAGATTTTACTTTTTGAGGTGATGGTTCTAGTTGCAGCTTCTTGTCATCGAGACCAATTAGAACAGGATCTTGTAAGCTAATATTAGCAAGATGATTTACTTTCTCATTTAAGGTGGCAGACAGTAATAAGTTCTGCCTCTGAAATCCAGCATCCCTCGAAGCTCCAGGTTTCTCGCCAATAGAACCATTTTGCCTTGACCCCAGTATGTTTAATATATCCTCTATTTCTTTCCCAAATCCCAGCTCCAAAATGCTGTTAACAGTCAGAGGAGTAGTTATTTTGATCAAATAGGAGGTTATGATGGAGTATTACGATATTATAATCACAGCGATCCTCATTAAAGGATTTCATACAAACCTATCTGCTTCATCAAAAACTATCCATTGCAAATTCATGCGAACAAATGATGATGTGTTCTTCAAGTGATCGAGAAGGCGTCCAGGCGTCGCCACAAGAATGGATATCCCTGAATATGTATAACATTGCTCATGTTAACATCCTGCGTGACAAGGACGAAAATAAAAAAAGTTACAACGTAAAAGTAAAAATCATCGTTCTATCATCTGACCCAACCTTCAAATTCAGCTTGGTAAAGAATGAGTGCCCAATTGAAATACAAGGTATTAGCAATCCAAAATCACCTAATCTAAGTTATCCCATGGAGAGGGAGTTCTCCAGTTTTAACTGGAGGCAGTGATCAGAAGTCAACAAAACAAAGCTGTTGCCACGTCATTCCCAAGCAATTTGAAACTTCTGAGTAGATCTAAAAAGAGAATGAGCGTCTTTAAAAATATTCCAAGCAACAACTAAAATTGCCTGGACAACGTCCTCTTCAACTGCAACACCATTCTGCTAGTGGAAGCAATAATCATGGTAGTAACTGCTTCTCTAAAGAATGCTGGCTATTATTCTTTCACCAAACATATTTCACCCTAAAGCTTCCAACTTCAGATGCTGCCACAATTTTCTATTTTTAACTCTAATTTGTCGAACCATTTAGCAGGTCCAGATAAATAATCGAAGAACAACGACGCAACTGTACTCTCAGAGGTCATCAAAACAGCAACGGGTATAAGCAAAACTTCTCACCTTTCCGCAACCTCGCTTTCTCCTTCGACCTGTTTTCACCGCCCATAATATAACCAGGGACAATCCAATGGAACCGGTGCAACAGCTTCTGCAGGATTTCATACACCTGCAAACATAACTCGCGCGTCGGTACAAGTACCAACGCTGTAACCGGGATATCAATACAATCCATGTACCAACTACATTACTGCCTAAAAATGCCCTAAGTCTGGATTGGCACCAATTCACAACTCTTCTCTGCTCTATAGTCAATGACAGTGTCCACGCAGCACGCATATCAACATACTTCACGACCTCAAAGTTCCATAATTCGTACAACAAACTCCACCAAAAGGACAATTTCAAAAGTCTCTAGCTAAATCCAGACTTAAAACATTGGCAGTGAATCGTCGCTTCTCAAGCATGCCCAATCGGAAATACAAAACTTAGAACATTTAACGAGACAAAAAGCGCACCGAAAGTCCCATCGGACCGTTCGATCCGAGGATCACGTTTCTGCAAGTGATGAACGATCGGCGCCAAGTACACGATCGTCTTCCCGGTCCCCGTGGCCGCGCTGACCAGCCTAGAAAAAATCCCTTCACCAAGTCAGAACACTTAAACCATAGCTCCAACACACATACATGCACATGCATATGCCAACGTATACACCAAGAGACGTAATACGAATCACAGGCGGAAAAGGCGTAAACGCTACGACACGGGAAGAGAAGCATACACATGTCGCCCGGAGAGGACAACGGGAATCGTCCGGGCCTGCACGCGAGTCGGCACCTCGAATCCCAGCCGCTCTGCGGAAACACAAAACCACGACAGAGAACCTCAACACCGTTAGGAACAACACGCGAATCGCGGTCGCCGGAGGAACATCGGCGGCGGGGGCGGCGGCCGGCCGGCCGGCCGGCCGGCGAGAGCAACGGGAAAAGGGGAGCGACCTTTGAGCTGGTCGCACAGCGCGGAGTGGAGGCCGAGGCTGGCGAAGGAGCAGTCCGCGAAGATCTCGTCCCTGTCCCCCTTCCTGGAGCTGGAGCTCGACTTCCGCGGCTCCATCGCCAGCTTCTTCGCTGCTGCTGCTGCTGCTGCTGCTGCTTCCTAGGGTTTTTCTTGCCGAGGCTTTGGCCGCCAACGCCGCCGAGACGAGCTATGGAGGAGCCGCGAGAAAGAGAGAGAGAGAGGGGACGACTTCTTCCGAAACGACGTCGTCTGAAGGGCGGGCCCCGACGCCGTCGTTTTGGGCTGCAGGCCCAAGAAAAAGAGTATTCGGGGAGCATCGCGACTCGTCGTGTCATCTGTCGACGACTCGTCGTGTCATCTATCGATACGATGTTCTGACTAGAACTTGCGATTCGCCATCCTCGTGTATAGCGTGGCCAACGTTCAAAATAGCAGGGGAAGCGGGGGCGGGTGGATATGGCTGGACAGCAAACTGCCATCGATGACAGTATCCTGCGTCGGCGGATGATATCCGGCCAACATAATTTTCTTTCTTTCTTCTGCTAAAGTATCATTATCTCTAATAATCATGGCAGGCAAGTAAACATCCCCCTTCTATCGAATGCTTTACAATTTACATCCATCATGCACAATTAGCCTAGGGCACATATGGGCCTAAAACAAACCTTCAGGCCCAAGAATCGGTATCCCTTTCTCCTAAGTTAGCATCGAGTAACCAACTCGTTTCTATCTTTTTTTACCTGGGCTTTTGACTGCCAAGGTGGTTCATCAAGTGATGTAGGGGCTTATTTCCATGTGATTTGTAATCCCCCTCGATCATAGGTTCGGAATCTCAAGTCGCTCCTCAGCTCCGGAACCCCTGGTTTCATTTGGGATATCCCCGGGTCAACTCTCATTAGCAGAGTGACGGGGTCGCTCGAAACGACAATAGTCATAGCTCAAAATCAAACGCTCTGTTTGTGGGTGTTGAGCTCTTATGGTAACGTGCAAGGAATTGCTGACGTCGGTCATATCTTCATACTCTTTTACTCGGAAAAAGAATTCGCCAATGTGCACATGTCGCAGAGACGTAATGCCGACGGAGTCCAAAGGACCATGCCCACGGTGAGATATAGACGAAAGCAGAATGCTTTCGGCGAGCCTTTTCAATTCTTGCTATACGTGGGATACTATCTGTTTTCGCCAAAACTAATTTACTAAACTAAACGCCAAAGTTTGGTCGCGGGGCGAATCGCACAATACGCGATCAAACCACACGCGTCGTTTGAACGTCCCAAACAATCTCATCAGATCGCGTTTCGAACCATAGACATACTCCAAACACACATTTAGCAAGATGCTCGGCACTATTCTACGAACCAACGGACGATATTACTCGCCAGTCATCGGGACTGGAAGACGGGTCGAACCGAACGAGACGTCGCCATGCATTCCAAGAGCACGCTCTCTCCTCTCCCGTATATGTCCATTTTGCACGAATGAACTCGAGGGCCGCCTATTAACTGCGTAACACTCGCCTTTTCCCCCTTTTCCTATCAAAATATAGAATATATATATATACCAGGTGCCTTTTCTTAATTTTGGTGTGTCAAATGAAATGGACCTAAAGTATGATAACTTCCATGCCGTCAAATTTCCTAGCACGACTTTATTAGCTTCGACGGCCATACAATTGGTAGACCCAAATTAATGGTTCCAACCACTTCTCTCTTTACGAATTCATTGGATCTTCAGGGGCGGGGAGGTTGGGATGAGGCTATGACAGGAGGGAAAGTTAGTTGCGCGTCACTGTCGTTGACATTTGGCTCATATGTTTGTACTGCGTTTGTTGATTCGTGGGGGTTTCGTTCATGAGGCCAGCGCTGTTTGTGTGAATGAATGATGGTGTCCTTCGTTCGGGAATCGGTTGGGTCTTTCTTGTTCGGGAAAAATGATCCCCAAAAAAAAAAAGAGAGAGTCCGAAATCTATTGTACTTATTCCAATTGAAACCTATTGAGTCCTAGACCTTTTGACAATTTGTCAATTTGATCTTCTTGCCAATTTTAAGCGAAAATTACCGAGGTGGATGCCGACCGTCCTGCATATCGTAACTGGTGTTGACGTGGACAATTTTGTCGTCCGAAATCGGCATTTAGGGTTTCTCTCTCTCCTCTCTCTCTCTCTCTCTCTCTATCTCGACATGTGTCTCTAAAGTTGTTGAAACTCTTGATTTGAGAGGGTTTGGAACTCCCAAAAGGCATGAACTTTTAGAAATGCGAGTTCCCGACACGACACGAATTCATTGGAAATGAAGCCGGACTTGATATGGCATTATGGCATAGCTTGGACCTTAACCTAAGTAGCATGTTTTCGCCGACTTTCGGCGAAAAAATGGGGATCAATTACGTTGAAACACTTTTATACCGACGTGAATACGTAGGTTTTGGCTCTAATTGCCCGGCCAACCCTAATTTGAATACGCTTGTGTATTATCACAATGAGAAAAGCCCATGTGATGTTTATCAGTTTTATGGGTAAGGTACCGTCGAAAAGCCGGATCGATGGGCAAAACGAGACCATTCGCACCCAACGAACGGATAATCGAACCCTTGCCGTATACCTAACCTACACGCATGCCTTCTTTCGGCTTAATTCCAATGCTTGAAAGGATGTCTTGACGCTCTCCACTGCTCGCGCGCTCGAACTCGGTCTCAAGCTCAAAACGCATAACCGAGAGGAGCAAATAAGGGCCTCGAAGAGATTCGGATGCGCGGCCTAAAAATTTAAGATGCGTACGGATCGAAACGGGGTAAGGTTTCCAAGTTCTTCCACGTGAGACGCCGTGCTCGAACGACGAGCGCAGAGAACGTGTGTTAAAGAGACGGGGCAGCGTGCGCTCACGGCAAAAGAACGAGCACGAAATGGTCGTGACCGGAACGAGCGCTCCGATGCTGGCCGAGCGAAAAACAGGGGAAAAAGGAAACGGGTTTCCCTCGAAGCGCAATCACGGCTCGCATCACGAGCCCCCTTTTGACTTGCGAGATCGTTCTTCGCGCACGGGATATTAACGGGGCGGCGTGTGACGAGTGATGTTAATGTTATATTGAGAGGCAGATATCGTAGGGAAAATGTCCAACCAATGCAACTAGTGCCATTGGTAGGTAATCGTCATTTTCATATTTTTTTTAACGCAAGTTTGTCACGCGATTGCTTGAGGACGTAAAGATGCTTCCTACTCTAGCATCCGCATGGCTCGTGTCGCTTCTAGTCGAACTGTGTTCTGTGATCCGTCGAGGAACGGGTGTTCAGATCCGTCGACGCCCGAAAATGATCAGGTCCTTTTAATCGACGTGATGCCGGTTCGAATGAACACGGAGGAGGTCGGCGTTTAAGCGCGAATCTTAAGCAAATTTGGCTGAAATGTCGAATATAGAGAAACCGAAGAAAGAAGATGTTAATGGAAGATGAGGATACTGCTTGAGCGGTTGAGCCCAATGGCAATTGAGGAGTTGTGCTCGCTTGTGGATGAGGTCGACGTACGGTCATGGAAACCTCGAGTTATGGAGATGTGGTTGTGACTATCAATTTATGGGCGATTATACTTTGTAGTAGGTTATATAAAGCCTCGTTGAATTGTTGTAAAGAACGAACGATCATCAATTCAGATTTCAATAAAAATCAAAAATCAATATTTGGTGTAAGATATTTCGCCGCTTGGGTCAATTCTCGTTGAAACATCTTTTGTTGCGTCTGATTGAACCATCATGGTTCGATTTGAGGAAGTGCAATACCTGTGACGACGATGGGCTGTGCAGGCTGACGTGTCGGGCCTCGACATGTCATGCTCAAAAATAATTTCTTCATGCTTTTTGTATTCTTCAGATTAATTAATAATTGAATTAATTAATTAATTACAGAATCGATTGATACAAACAATTGCTACGGCAAGTTCTTTTTGGTTCTAGTTTTTACCCTCGAAAGGAAAACCGGAAAATAGCTCTTCCCAAAATTGCTTCGCCCACCGTGCACCCCTTGCATAACTACATAACAAAGGTTGGAAATGCCCAAAAAAAGCGCCAACTTATATCTAGAGCATAACAATGCAAAACATTCATTTGTCAACCCGCGACTGACATGGCAAGTGGCTGATAACATGCACAGATTACATGTCTCGCCCGAACGAGAATTAATGTGACGATTCGTGCGAAACGTCGTTTTGAAGCTGCAGAGCCGAATGGCAACTTAAATTCGCGACAAAGCCGACATTGTTTTGGATACCATGCCATCCAAATTTTCGCTCATGCGACGTGTCGTTTGTACGCACCCTAGGGGTCACTCCCCTTATTTTTAGCACGATACAAATTAAATTCATTTGCTCCTTTTTATTTTCTATTTTCTTCTTCTTCTTCTTCTTTTTGTTTTGGACTGGTGGCACACGTGACACATGCAAAGTCGAATCTTTTCGATTAATTATGGGGCGAAGAAAAAACAGTTGGTCCCGCTTGGAAAAAAAAAGACATACAAAATCTCTGAGATTCTCATCAGTTTCCACCAAATAAATAAATGAAAATGCGCATGTGGTGCCACGTGGTACGTGGCGATTTGGCATTTAAGTGGAGGGGAAAGAGAGACAAAATAACATGAACGGTGCGTTTGCCGGGAGAATGGGCCTGATTCCCTAAAAAACCTTAAACTTTAATTTTTGTCTCAAATTTACCTTTTATCTCATAAAAAATCTCCAATTTTCTCTTATGTCCTAATTCTATCATAAATTTTTTTTTATCTCATAAAAAACCATCAACTTTAGGTCTTGTCCTAATTTGACCAAAAACTTTTTTTGTCTTATAAAAAATCCCTAACGTTTTGTCTTGTCTCAATTTTACCGTTTAATCCCAATTTTACCCTAAAATTTTTGTAGATTCGCAAAAAGGCACAAAATTTTACTTGAGTCACGAATTTGCCTCCATTAACCTTTTGTCCAAAATTTTTTGTTGACAACTGAGAGGTGGAAAACTCCAAAGCACGAGCTGTTCGAGCATCCCGAGTGCAAGCTCTCTGACCGCGAGAGAAAGCACGGGAGATCAAAGATTGACTGCAAAATCACTAAGCACGATTTTGACGGAGGGTTAATGGAAAGCAGATTTGGGACTCATGTAAAAGTTTGTGATCTTTTATGAGACAAAAAAAATATATAGAGTTAAATTAA